CTCATGAATCAACCTACGGATCTCCTGGGTGTTGGCGCGTCCCCACCAGGATGTCTCTGAAATACAACACAAAAGAAATCAGAGACTCGCTCGAGTATACTCGCACTCGATACTCAACCCTACTTGCTCTTTAGTACCCTGAAGATTCTTACTTGGACTGGTCCCCGATCCGGTGTTTCCAGTAGTACGGGCCCTTATACTACCTTTCACAGCGTATCAGTATTCACCCCAAGTCCTTCTCTTAGGATCCCAGATCACAAGTACTCTACATCTCACTAAACTCAGGCTACTCTCTGGTAGACCACTCATAAGTTCCTCGCTGCTACCTACTTACTCTCGAAATATCTCATAGTAGCAGTAACTCCTAGGCTAAGGCATCACAAATCAGGCCCACTCTAGTCCTAGCCATGAATACCTAGCCTACTCTAGCATGCATAACATATCACATAATATCTCATAACACATAATGTAAGGGTATTTTGGGAAATCACCGTTCGGACGCTGGCTGATCGTACACACTGCTCCGTTCCGCTTTTCTCAAAAGTCCTTTACTCTTTTGGAAAAATTGTTTCTTTTATGAAAAATTCTCTCAAATCCTCAGTTTGAGTTCAGATACGCCCGGAGGTGTATCTGAGACTCTCAAACCAAGGCTCTGATACCAACTTGTAACAACGAAAAATTTCCAAAACAATTTTTCATTTTTAAAACATACTTTCATTCATAAAACATCATAGTAATCCAATGTATCACATGTTATCACAATGAACAAATCCCAGAATCTCAAAAACATAATCTCTATTAGTGTGTACGGATCATGCCGGCGCCTTCTCGCGATCCTCGCTAGTACCTGAAACACATAACACAACAACTGTAAGCATAAATTCTTAGTGAGTTCCCCAAAATACCACATACAACACATACGCCACTCGAGGCTATAATACGACCCTCTGGTCGATGTGTCTCAGCGGGACCCTCCAGTCCCGTAGCTCGTTGGACCCTCTGGTCCGGTCATAGCTCGTTGGACCCTTCGGTCCGGTCTGTATCGTTGGACCCTCCGGTCCGGTCTATACAACACATAGCATACACATATCACAATGCACATAATCTCATACATACACATAGCACACAAGACCCTCCGGTCTACACGTAAATACCACTCTAGGTAATGTATAGTGAGAAGACTCACCTCGGGTATCTCGGATGATCTCGCACACGAATATACTGATCTAGCCCCCGCCTAATCACATACACAATATCCTCAAATAAATAGTGGCTCACAAAGGCTAGATTAAATCTCTTTCTATAATCCCTCAGAAGGGTAAAAGACCATTTTACCCCTCTCGTGGCTCAAAGACCCTAACATTGACCAAACCCTAAAAGTCAACGAAAGTCAACGGTCAAACTTTGACCCGACTCGTCGAGTGCACTAGTGCGACTCGGCGAGTACATGCATGTCCACTTCGCCCCTGGATCTCACTCGACTCGCTGAGTCAGCCCTTTCCTCAACGGGTTAACACAGGTCGCGAGTCGCGGGGCAACCCGACTCGACTCGTCGAGTCCCTTATGGGCTCGACGAGTTGCCTCCATAACATCTCTCAGATGACCTTCTAAGGTCAGATCTGCTTCCCTAATTATCAGATCTATCCTTCAAGTGTTCAAATGTCACGTATAGGTGCAACCTTTACGTGCATGCAACCCACAATAAGTCACAAATGGAGAAATAACTCTAAAAATGGCAACCTAGTCCCCAATCTCTCATTTGCTTGCATAAAGCTGAATGCTTGGGACTTCCTGGACCTAAAAGGGTCCAGATCTCTATTACAACTCGAAGAAGGGGGTTGGAGGCATCCAAACCAAAAAGGAAGGATTCAAGCCCTAACCCCAAATCAATGAAATCCATACAATAGAGAGAGAGAGAGAGAGAGAGAGAGATCCGATTTTATACCTCAAGGTGAACTCCTTGCTTAGCTAACTCAGAATAGCAATCTCCTTTGATCCTTCTTGCTGGAGCTCCTCTCCCTTCTTGCAAAATCACACCAAAAGCTCAAATGGTCTCCTCTGTCTCACTCTACACGCTCAAGATCGATGGGGGTTCTCTCTCTGGGATGGTAGCCGCCAATGAAGGCCATAAGGGCCTTTAAATAGGGATCAGGCCCTGAGATTTAGGGTTTCATTTAACAGCGCGGACTCGCCGAGTCCACACATCTACTCGTCGAGTCCAGTCATTAATCCAGTCAAGAACTCGCGATCCTACTCGGCGAGTCTGAGCGTCTACTCGCCGAGTCCCTCCACAAAATCCAAGATTAATAACTAAAATAAGATACCTGGGAATCCGGATGTTACACAGTCTGTAAAGCTGTGGACCTAGTACATGTTGTTATTTGTATATTGTTATGTGAAGTGTATCGGTATGTTGGCATTCCAACCCAATGGTTGAGGGCCTGGGGTATTCCATCCCGATGGATGATTGGACCCATAGTATGCTGTTTGTTATTGTATGTGTATTGTTGTGTGTATGGGTATTTTGGGGGTAACTTACTAAGCTTTCGGACTTACAGTTTCAGTTTATTGTTTCAGGTTCAGCGGATGGCCGCGGGAAGGCGAAGGCGTGACCGTACACTTCCTCGATTGATGATTATGATTTCTTGGAACTCTGATGTTTAAACTATTTTGAAAACAAATTGTAATAATTGAGTAGTTTTTAAATGATTTAAACGTTTTAAATTGGCTCGAATTTTATGGGTGTTACAATACCAATGGGTCGAAGGCACCAAGGTCAGCCCATTTTATGATATGGGGTACACTAGTTGATGAAGTGATACATGGTATGCTAGTTAGTTATGCTAAGTGGTATGCTAGTTATATATGTGATACTTGCAGGGAAGACCATGGAGGGAGCCCATGACGCTTGGATGTAAGACCATGTGGGGGAGCCCATGGCTTTTCAAGTAAAGACCATGGGGGGGAGCCCATGACACATGGATGTAAGACCATGTGGGGGAGCCCATGACTTTCCAGCTAAAGACCATGGGGGGATCCCATGACACTTAGGTGTAAGACCATGTGGGGGAGCCCATGACACTTAGGTGTAAGACCATGTGGGGGAGCCCATGACATCCTGGAGTAAGACCTTGGGGGGAGCCCACGACATCCTTATATGTTTGTATACATGACTTGTATGGTTTATGTAGCTTTTATAGCTAATATGGATTATGTGATTACGTGGATTGTGTGAGGTATGCTTTGGGAAACTCACTAAGCGTTAGCTTACAGTTTATTGATTTGTTTAAGGTATATCTGAGCCTAAGGGCAAGGGCAAGGCTTGATGGCGCGACATGCACTCTCCGACATTTGATTTGATGGGACACTCTGATGTTTTGAATAAAATGTTAATGTTATGAATTTTGAAAACAATGGTCAATGTTACTTCATATTTTATGGGAATGTTTGGTTAATTAAAAATGAAAAATTTATTCAAAAATTTGGGTCGTTACAGAATTCCACGTCGTGGTGATCCCCTCACCACGTCGTGGGAAAACACTTTCTCAAGATTACACAAATGAAACTCATACCTAAAACCGGACGTTATAGTTTGCCTTTTTTTTCCCTGTTGCCACATCAGGTGTTTTGTCTCCGCAAATAAAAATGTATATTTTTAGTATTATAAAAGACAAATATAATATAAGTATTTGAATTCGGGGGATCCCTAAAGTCATACCTACCTTAATCTATAATTCTGAAAGTTTTTGTAGACGTGTCATGATGCCATTGTATATAAAACTCATTTTTTAAGCAAAACCTATGTAAATGGACCGAATATACATCCATACTGATTCAAACTATTGCGTCAGATTTGAAACTGATTCGGCAAAATTAATTATATATAAATCGCTATTACTTAATAAAAATAATACAACATTGTACTATTAAGATATTGTTTTCCCAAATACCTTGAGAACCAATTGCAGATAAATCTTCACATTTTGGAACAAATCATGTCGTTATAGACGATTATTGGCAATTATAGGGTGTATATTTAAGGTTATTTGGGTTACCAAGACATCTAATGACAAATCTAACAAAAAAATTATCAGAGAGTGAAACCCATACCTATTGAGAATATACGTTTCATATCTATTTTTCGTATTTTGGAGATATTTTTCACATTTCGTACTTACTTTAAAATACATATAATCTAATTAGATAAACATTTCAAACTAACATGGTTCATGAAATCTATGCTTTTCTTCGGAAAAAAAATTCAAATTATTTAAATTTTTTCATAATGACATTTTGGATATGAACCATGCTTGACTGCGAGATTTCGGAAACCTGTGCATCTTAACAAAAAAATAGTCCTTAAAACTTGAAAAGTCTAAAATTTTAAGCAAAACAATTATAAGTTGTCATTTTCTATTGCAAAATACATAAAATTAAAAGTTCACTCGAAATCATACACATTGTTTTTTACTTCTATTTGTGTTTTTTGCTTCTATTTGAAAACAATATCCTTCTAAAACTCAAGGAGCAAAGTTAACATTATGAGAAAAAAAAAATTAAAATTGTTATATGCTTTTAATAAGAAAAATTTCGGAAATCATAAAGTTAACTTCTGATTCTCAACACTTCAAAACAATATGAAATCAGAAACTTCTAAAACCTAAAAAGATTTTGGCCTTATATTTAAATGAGTATTGTTCATGGACACACTTTAAACATCGTGTTGAACCGACCTCATACAAACTATAAGTCCTATAGAACCTAAACACCATTTCAACCGACCTCATACGCACTATAAGTCCCATATAACCTAAACACAAAAACATGTACCCGTTTCAACCGATCCAATTCCAAACTAATTGGTTATGTTTCAAAAAAATAAGTTTTAAAATTATTTTCTTTAACTTAAGACAACAGATTAGTTAATCATGTCGTTATTCCAATTCCATGTACTTTTGGGCTTGATCCAATCCCATCGTCCTGAGCCCATATTCGTTGCAGCACAAACAGTAAAGCACCGTCAGTCGTTGATACTGATACGCAGCTACGACGCCTCTTTCCTCCCCACTTTCAGACCCACACAGTCGACGGACCAGTGTCGCCGGAGACATGGAAGACATCGAGGATTTGTTGGTAGGCGGTGGTGCTGCTCCACCCGGTTTCCGACTCCCCATTACCGCCGCCGTCGGAATAAATCCAATGAAAAAGAAGAAAAACAATAAACTAGAGCCATCATCTTTGCTTCAAAACTCCTCGACTCATCAAGTCCCTGGCACCCAGGTTGGATTTCTCCCTATATTCATACCCTGAGCGAGAATCGTTTCCATTTTCTGCTTTGCCTTTTTGCTGATTTCACTCTTCTTTTGTTATCTCTCAATCTTATAGACGATTTTTTTGAAGACATTTGGATGTTCACACAACCAGGTACAATTTCTAGTTTCATGTGCTCACTTTTTATGACCTGCATTAATTGCTCAAGTCTCCTCTAGAAACTTGCCATGATTAAGCCAAACCTCCTATTTCTATCAAACGAAGCTCATAGAAATTATATTGCTATAATTCCCATCAATTTGTTTCAATTTGTTGTCCTTTTTAATCACTTCGAAATGAATATTGTAGTTATTAGGTGTCATAGTTAGAAAGTAAAGTAATTCCGAAAATTATTTGCTCCCATTGATTTTCTTGAGTTGTTTGTTTGAACTTGCAGAGTGACAGTGAGTACATGGCTGGCCAACTTTCCTCATTTGGCTATGCTATCAGTGACAACGCAGAAGGAGCAGATCTTTGGCTGATAAATACGTGAGTTATCTTTCTATCCTATTTCCTGTTGTCTGCTTGCTTTTCAAAAAGTAAAGAAAATGTTTTAAAAGATAATAAAAGTGAAAAGAAAACATTAACTATTGTTGGTTCTTCTTTCAATCAGCATATAGTTGTTTGTTCAACCATTGGCATCTTTGTTAATGAGCACTAACAGTCGGACAACACAATAGAAGGTTTCTAAATTTAAATTGATAATTGAAGTTGAAAAGAAGGATTGATTATATAATATAATACAGGTGTACAGTGAAGTCCCCAAGCCAGTCTGCGATGGACACTTTGATATCAAAATGTAAAAGTGCAAAAAAGCCACTTGTGGTGGCAGGATGTGTGCCTCAAGGAAGTCGAGACCTGAAAGAGCTTGAAGGTGTTAGTATAGTTGGAGTTCAGCAAATTGATCGGGTTGTAGAGGTTGTTGAGGAGACCCTTAAAGGCCATGAAGTCAGACTTCTGAATCGCAAAACTCTCCCATCACTTGATCTTCCTAAGGTTTCATTTTTAGGATTTTAATGCAAGAAATAGCAACGTAATGTTTGAATTATTTAGTTTGGGTTAATTAATAATTTTAATAACTACTACAGGTAAGGAAGAACAAATTTGTTGAAATTCTTCCGATAAATGTTGGTTGTTTGGGGGCTTGCACATATTGCAAGACTAAGCATGCTCGAGGTCATCTAGGAAGCTATACGGTTGACAGCCTTGTAAGCAATAAATAACTTTGTTCACTACATTGCCTTCTAAACTGTCTTTTTTTTTTTTTTTTTTTTTAAACAATATTTTAAATCTTGAAAATTGCAGGTGGGGCGTGTGAAAAGTGTTGTAGATGATGGAGTGAAAGAGATTTGGTTGAGCAGTGAAGACACTGGGGCATATGGTGATCTTTCTTCTTCTTTGAGTATATGAAATGAAACAATGTTATTTATTTGATGATTAAGTAAAAATTATGTGGGTTAACAGGTCGTGATATTGGAGTAAATCTGCCAATTTTGTTAAATGCAATAGTGGGGGCACTCCCATCAAATGGGAGCACAATGCTCCGGATTGGGATGACTAACCCTCCTTATATTCTGGAGCACTTGAAGGAGATTGCAGAAATCCTGCGACACCCTTGTGTCTATTCATTTCTTCATGTACCTGTTCAATCCGGGAGTGATGCTATCTTAACTGTAAGTCACTCACTCTACAAGCAGTAACTAGGGTTAGGGTTAATAGCAACGTACTTTCATTGCTTTCATTTCTCCCCATTACATCATTGTACTTTGAAAAATCAGATCTACCCAATTATAGAAATACAAGCAGGATGCTATAATGCACAAATAAAATATGTAACTGTTTCTTGCAATTAGCCCTGATTATTATTATGGTCTTTGTTTCTTGGCGATGGTGACAGGCCATGAAACGAGAATATACAGCAGGGGAGTTCCGGAAGGTAGTTGATACATTGACTCAACTTGTTCCAGGGATGCAGATTGCAACTGATATTATTTGTGGATTTCCTGGTTAGCATATACATATTTCTTTTCTGTCTTATTTTCTTTCTGCAAAATCAAAATAATTATTAACTACACATACAGTTACAAACAGAGTGTCAGATTTGCAAATAACTACTAACCCTTGCATATCTCATTTGACAAAAAATATGTTAATAAATAAAATTCTTTTTGATTGGGTATTCAGGTGAAACAGATGAAGATTTTGCTCAAACAGTTGATTTGATCAAGGAGTACAAGTTTTCGCAAGTTCATATTTCTCAATTCTACCCTCGACCAGGTATTTCCTTCTACACAAAACAAAAGTTACTTTGTTTGATATTATATTGTGGCAAACTTTTACAGATTGTAATGTAAATCCGATTTGATTTGAGTCCCTTATAAAATCTGCCTACTTTTCTCAGATGACATATTCAAAACATTACTCAAGTTTTTTAAGTTTATCATCAATCATATATATTTGATTATGGTTAGTTGCCACGTATTTTTTTTCTTCCTAAATGAGTCTGTTTATTTTATGAATGAGTGAAGGAACCCCAGCTGCAAGAATGAAGAAGGTGGCAAGTAATATTGTAAAGAAAAGAAGCCGTGAATTGACTTCAGTATTTGAATCATTTACACCTTACAATGGCATGGAAGGAAACATGGAGAGGATATGGATTACTGATATTGCAACTGATGAAATTCACCTTGTAAGTAAAACAGTTAAAAAAAGTATAATATGATTTAATAATGACTAGAGAAATTAGTTTAATCTGTTGAGCTTATATGGTGGTTGTATAAAATATAAAATGTATTAGGTGGGCCACACAAAGGGATATGTGCAGGTTCTGGTTGTTGGTCCTGAAAGTTTGCTCGGGTCTTCAGCAATTGTAAAGATAACTTCGGTTGGAAGGTGGTCTGTTTTTGGTGATGTCATCAAGATTCTTGATGAAAGTCAAGGGGTGGTCAAAAAGGATACAAGCAACAAAGAAAACTGCTCACCCTCAACCTCACCCGGCTTTGATCAAGAAGATGCATGTGCATGTTCAGAGGCAAAGCCCGAATCTTGTGCTTGTGGATCCAACGGTTGTGATATTGCTGCCATTGCAAATGATTCATACCCAGAAGCCCAAAAGGCCCAAAATATCCCGAGTTTACTATCGAGGAGAAAACTGTCATTGACCACTGTGGAAACGGAAGACAATGGCAATCAGAAAGTTGCCATGAGCAAAATGCAGCATCGTGATTGGGGTGTTGTTGATAAGCTTCTTGTAGGTGGGATTTTTATGAGCTTGTTGACGATGGTAGCTCTAATTTTGTATGTGGGTTTTTGAAGATGTCTTGTAGTTTATAGATTATAATTACACATTGCTTTGAAGTTGGTAGCTTTTTGTTTTACATGTTTGCATTAAAGAATGTATAACTAAGATGAGTTATTTCATGGATTTGATTTTGTGTTTAAACTTTAAATTAAGGGCATTGATTTCTGTTGGTGATTTTAGGGTTATCCAACATATTTTTGTGTAATTATTATTAGTAATGAAATAGGCCGAACTCCATTTAGTAACCGAGCTTGGAGGTGTGGGGTGCACACTCAGTGTGATAAATGTGAACATGGGAATACGAGGGTCCGGGGGCAGCGCCCCTGCGTGCAGAGCCTCTGGCGGTGGTGTGGTTTTGTTGACCGGTCAGCGGATGGGGTTCTAAGGGGCAGCGTCTAGAAACCTAAAATCGGATTTTTGTATCAGGTGAGACTCTATGTCATACACTTTCCCGCCAAAAACCCACTAGATGACATCACGATGATGCATGTGTTAGTTATGTCCATTAACTAACAATTTTGACGTCAATTTTACATGCAACCGCCAATAACCATCATTCCCTCTAATATAAGAATGTTTTATGGTTTAGAAAACGGGTTGGAACTTTCATACACGAAAATTGTATATTGATTCATTTTATCTCTCCGGAACACAAAAATCATAAGGTATATTTCATGTTTCTGATTTACAAGTGGCCTGACTTCTAAATTGAAATTCTCTGGATTATCCTTAATCTGATTTCGTGATAATGTATCTTCCGTGTTTTTGATTTATAAGTGACCTGACTTCTAAATTGAAATTCTCTGGATTATCCTTAATCTGATTTCATGATACACCAGGCTATAGGGTCGAAATCACAGATTTTGGAAAGTGATTGCAATCACGATCCAAGAAATATCAACTGATATTCTTAGTACTTGTTGTGTTGTCTTGTGTCACGCATAACAAAACTTTAATTAACCAGTGAGATACAAGAAGTACAAAAACCCACACCAAGTACCAAGATTTGTCTTTAAATAAAATAAAATTAAGCTAAATTTTCCTCTTTTCTTGTTTACATCTTTCCTCTGTCTCCTATATTATATCCAACCAAACTCTTACATAACATTACATACTTTCAAGACTATTCAAACAAAAATCTTGAAAGTGTAATTCTTAGTCTTTTTAATGAATAAAGTTATATTAAATCCAATCAAACCTCATGATTTTGCAAAAAAAGTTATTCTTCCAACCACCCTGCCCCAAGAGCATCATGCGAGATGTAAATCATGTACACAGTGACCCAGTACAAGGATCCAGATCCACATTGGAATTGAAACTCCCACACTGCGACTGCTCAGACTCAAACCCTCATCTGTTTTTATACCATCCCAAAACCAACTGTACTGGAGGCGAACGAAAGGAATTAAACCTCATATCAACAACCACAGGCCACAGTAGCCAGCCATGCTGCAGGATCTTCTTCTACAATTCAATGAATCGATCCCACAATCATCATCTGTTAAACATCTGTGATCATCACGCGTATCAGGGACATGGCAAACACTCTCAATCTGTTGACCATCATCAAGTCTAGGCTTCAATAGATTCGCTGGACAGACTTGCATGGACATTGCACTAGCTTGTTTCTTTTGTGTTTCAATCTGTTGTAATAAAACAAACCAATTTCATTTTCTTTCAAGAACAACCCAGAAAAAAGTCACTTGTTATTATGAAGTTTGTACCTTGATGGAGGTCCAGTTACGGGGGATGTATGAATCAGGAAGCCTTTCATGCCAATCACTTACAACAGGAAGAGGGTGACCTTCTGTTGTGAATACATAATTTCCACCCATCAAAGCCGAATCATCAAACAGAAGATATAGATACTTGCACCTATTCATAAAGATAAAAAACATCTTTCAACACAATTTCCAAATGCTAAATGAAAATCATAGATCCCTTCCTTACGTTTCTGCCAGGAAGAAACTATGCTGGTGATCTTCTAATTGCATGGTTGTTACATCTCTAATGCTTGCATATCCACCTTCAACTTTTGTGTGTAAATTAAGGGAATTTACAATCGCTTCACCAACTTCCATGTACCATGGGTCTGAAGCACAAAGTACAAACAAAAACTTAAATTTATCATATTACAATTTACAAAACTTGTAAGAATTATTAAAAAATATAGAAGCAAGAACCTTTTGTTGCTTGATACAAGTAATATGTTGACTCTGCCAACTCTGGACGTAAAGGATAATACTTTTCTGTGGGGTGAACAATCTGATGATCCAACAGATATCTGAGTAGTTTCAGAATTTGCTATTACGTTTCATCCAGAAATATTAAAAAAAAACTTTAATTTAATCAAAGGTTTGAAGCTTCATACCTTTCTGGAAGTACTCCAAATTTTTTCCATACATGAAAAAACTCACGATGTGTTAAATTAGCAGCTGCAACATCCCCAACAAGAACCTAATCACAACAATCATTATAACATAAAAAATAACAGTCTCAGTAACAGTAAAATTTACCTGTACACCAGGCCAAAATGCTTGAAGACTTGTAAGTTGCCAGTAAGTTGCCCTTCCTGTCCTCATATCGGCTTCATGATACCTACAGTGTAGAGTCCAATTCTTCACATGATGTTCCATATTTTTAGCTAATTTATAGCAAAACCACCCTAATTTCAACATTGGAAAAAAATGAGAGTTTTCAAGATCAAATTGAACTCAACCTCATGAGGGAGAAAATAAAGAAATGATTACCATGAACCGTATCTGAAATATTTCTGAACACCAAGATATGCTGACTGAAACATCCTCCAAAATTCCTCTTTTCCAAAGAGAATGTGAGCTTTGATTAGATACTCATAAAAGGAATCAACCCCTGTTCCAGATACAGATAATTCCACCATCAGAATCAGAATTATAAATATTAAGGTGAAAGGAAGTGATTAAAATCCATGCATGATCAACTTACCAGCACCAATACCAGAGGAGTATTCGATCCATTCTCCAGTTGCTACATCAAGTGTAGTTCCTAGAAGATTCAGAGAACTCCTCATGCCCCACAACTTACGAAGAGCATGCAAAGCTGCATCTTCAAATCTTGAATCACCCGTTAATCGTGACAAAGATCCCATTTCAAGAATAAGAGATCCTAAATTCACACAAAAGATTTATTAGCCCATTCAGAAAGATCTAGAGTCTTTTCCATTCAAGTATTATTAACATGGATGCCATCTTACCACAACCAGAAGTGCTTGTTTCAGTCGTTTCATTCTCCATAACACCATACTGCCAAATAATTTCGCATCATAAAACATTACTATGTGAAGGGTGAAGGGTTGTTTTAGTAATTTGAGAGGATGAATACCTTCAAGTTAATCCAGGCATAAGGCAAACCAGTGGGTGTGTTGAAAGCTGGTAAAAAACGCGTTCCTAAATCTTGAGCCAAAACAAGGAGCTGATTGCTGTAAGTTCCTTGAATCAACCTGTTTGTAGAATCAGTTGCAAGAATATGAGCAGATACAAGTCCTCCAAGAAGTCTTATGTTGCACTACATAATAACCATCAAGGAGATTTATATCGATACCCAACAAGATTAGAACAATAAACATTACTCTTTTATGCACAAATATAAGTTTTACATTTGGAAAACTGAATTTCAAGCTACATAAAAACAAGTTATGGGAAACGAACAAGGAGGCTTGTTGTATATATACCTCAAAAAGATTTATCCTTGCATCGACATCAAAATTAAGATTTTCTGAAAGCCACATAACTGCCCTTTCGAATTCTGTGTTGTTACCTAGAATTACAAGACTGCAAGAAAGAGTTGAAACAATGAAAGGGATGCTCCTAAATGTAATCAAGAAAAAAACATGTAGTACCTGGACAATGATTCAACAAGTGTAAGTGCCGATCCATTGTACCCTTTGGGTAAGTTTTCAAGCTAAAATGAAAAAAGAACAAGTTATATAAGTGATCAACAATGAATTTCAGGTGAAGAGGTTACAACCTTTAAATTTCCAAGCTCACTAAGAGAGTCGGTGAAAGTTTTGGAAATAGGTTTTAATTCATCATGCTGCAAAACCATGAATAGGGTTAGTATGCGTTTTTGAAAGAAATAATATGTGATGAACTTGTTGATAGGAGGTCGGGTACTTACAGGAAATGCATAAGTCATGTAGTTGTCATATGCATGATAAAACCTGCAAAAGAGGAAATGTATCTTAATGATGAGTATGATACAACACCCCCAAGTATGCCTTATTTATTGTAAATGATGCTTACATTTAGGGGACATATGGTTTGGTTTGTGGAATGTTTCGGAAGGAATTGGGATATGTAAAAGAAATTGGAATTCGAAGGATTTGGAATGATGGAATCTGAAGGAACTGAACGCATGAGAAGAGGGAAAAAGCACATGGAGAGGCAAGAGGTGTTTATTTTTGAAATTATTGGTTTAAAAGGGCATTTGAGTATTTTTAACAAGGAAGAAATCCTCAGAATTGAACTACATGGGTTTGCAGATGGAATGTTGAAATCCATCCAGTAAAGGATTTTGTGAATTCCGACTGAATTCAATTCCGTACTCATTTTCAACCAAGGGTGGGATTGGAATGGAATTTAATTCTAATTCCAGCCAAATGCCACGGAATAGAGCGAACCAAACACCCAATGACCCAATTACTATTTTACAAAAACTTATCCCAATTAGGGTCAATTGAATAGGATATGAAGAAGCAGGTTAGGCATTGACTATAACTGGATATATAGAAGCACATTAGGCATAGGCCAAAGAGAACTAACTATTTGAAACAAAAAGTAAAATTACCCTAACCAACCATAACTTTAATCAACTCATTAATCTGATTATGATTATTTGACTGACAATAAAAGAATAATCCCTTTGAAGATGATCATTCAATCACCACCTTTCTTTAAAAAAGAGTTAAAATGTTGGATTTATAAAAGCTTTTTCAACCTCCCTACATGTTCCCTAGTTGGTAACCTAAATGTCTTGAATATTGGCCTATATGGTCAACTAACATAAAAATGAGTAAGGCAAACCTAATAAATATTTCAAAAATAAGTAATTGACACCAACTAACCAACTTAAGCAAGAAAAGACTCAAAATTTCCGCCACTTTCACCTGCTAGTACTTCAATTTTAGCACTAAATCTCTAAATTCCGACCTATTTCTATGTATAAAGAAGATTAAAATGGAAAATTCAAGGTAAAATTGACTTACATCTTGCGCACCTTCTCACTCATGCGTCTCCTCTTAGCTGATAAACTCGAATCGAGTTCGGACATGGATGAGTTGAAGATTGTTGGAGATATTAAGAGAAAAACGATTAGCGATGTCCAACAACTTGTGCGGCGAGTCATTGCTATTCTAATCTCAAGGATTCGGAGAGAAGCAAGTGATTTCGCTCCGAATCAAAAGATCGAGGCAAGTGAGCACGGTATTGTTCGATCAGAAATCTTTGGGGCTATGAAGAACTTGGGATTACACATCTTCAATTCTTGTTTTGCCGTTGAGCTGGCAGACGTTGAGCTTTCTCGGCCAATAATAGACGAACAAGTGTCATAACATGTGTACCAATCAGAACAAACCACGTCAGATTTATATTAATAAATAACTTACTAAGAAAAATAAAAAATTAGGGATATTGACAAAAATACAACATATATAAATAATAAACTTATAATGCTGTCGAGATCTGATCAATATTTTTTGGTTAATTCGGTCCTTCATCTTGTTTGATATATGACAAATTATTTCTGACAACCTTCTGACTCGGTCCTCTAACAATCAGTCCTCTAACAACCTTCTGACTCGCTCTTCTGACAACCTAGATCAACCACCTTCTGATTCGGTCCTCTAACAAAATTACACTAACTCAGTCTTTCTTTAACTTTCACGTATTTTCCCTTCCCTTTATGCCCAAATAGCATTCACGTCATACCTTCTCTTCTTCATTCAGTTACTAAAACGAGAACAATATTCATCGTCGCTTCTTTTGTCTCATCCTCTTTTCATCTCCGCTTTAGTATGAGCTTACAAGTTGGTAAACATATCGTTCCCGGTAAGCCTGTAAGTTTTGATTTCCATTCTACTCATTTGTAAGATCACAAACATATTAGTAACTTTTAGTTTCAATTCAATTTTAAATTTTGATGTCGTGGTTGGATTTAATTACTTTCAAGGCAGTTTTAGAAAAAAGAGAACAAAACGCTAGTGATCAATAAAGAAGATTAACCCAATTACAAAACAATTTTTTTTAAGAAGTCTTGATTTTATATGAGCATATATATAACATAAAGTAGTATTTTATTGATCCGCTTGACGTTGAGTTTAATGTACTAAAATAGACGATTGTATAAAACCTTCAACAATTTCATTATGTGTTTCAGCTCGTTGTAAATGACGAGCTGATATGGGACATTGGAGCCTGACCTTGTATTGAGATTTTTTGCAAGTCTTGGATTGATGGCTACCTTGAATGACAAAACTTCAAAGATACCATTTGTAAGTCCCATGATATTGATACCAAATTTTGTTACCTATTTGATAAGGAGAAATCCATGAAGATCACCTCGAATGAATAACACATAAAAGGATCAAGTTCTTGCAAGTATTTAAACAAGTGAGATGAATGTTAAGGATGAAGTTATGTTTACATATACAAGATGATATATAGGTTTGTTTCTTTTTATCTTTATAAATACATGATATCTTAATTGGCTAAATGGAAAGATGGTTAATTTATGAGTAGATAATATAGCATTCACAATTAGATTTGAATTATAGTTTATTCAACTGTAATAAGTAATAACTACTAAATCTCTTTTTTTAGTAGACTCCCAAGGTGTTTCCATGTGATAATCTCCGAGTGAAGCTTGGTGGAGAACCCTAGGAGGAGGAGGGTGTTTATCTGTCTGCATTTGGTGTTTGAACTAGTAAACCAAATAATGTATCATCTTCACTTTTGAACAAACAATCGAGGTTATTTGTGATTTCACCATTTTGTAATGAGAAAGTTTGTATTTTCTTATATATGTTCTTATATGTAATAATCCTCATCAACCAAAATACAAAAGTGGATATAACAAATTATAATTCGTTGGTGGTAAAATGTAATATACAATTGAAGACTTCTTTCTTTCAATGAAACTTATGTTTAATTCCTACACAAGATAGAATAAAAGGGTAATATGATTATTTTTATCATTCAACACAGACAGTCAGATACATAATCAAGCAACCGAGTTTCATTTAGAGGCAGAATCAATCAGAGATTATGAATCGGTTAGATCTGACTCAATCAGTAACTATCAAACAACCCCTCAAATGACAAAGTTATTTTTATTTTGTAAAAATGATCATCTTATTGGAAACATCTCATTCCATAAAGCTATTCCAAATTCCAAAGTAATAAGTGTTGGAAAGAGTGTTTAACGTCATTAAGTATTGGTAATATTTCTAATAATAACAAAGTCCTCTTAGGTTGCCCCAAGACTCATTGAGTAGAATAAATACAAGAGGAATTAGTTTATTAATTATTATGATTTAATAATTAATTAGAAACTAATTAGAAAATATTTTGGAAGTTAATTAATCAATTTAATTAGTTAAAATGTTAAATATCAGTTAATCAATAGTTGGTTGATCAGGAATACTCCAAACCCCTTATGAGATTAGGGTTGAATGAAATCTTCTCTTGGATAAGGAGAGATTTTGAAATCTACTTCATCCCGCATGTAATGGAGGACAAAACCTAAGAAGGGATTCAAGGCTATAAAATGGCCTTAGAGATCTCATTCTTCTTCGCTCATTGGCTTGACACTTCACCATCCTTCTCCCTCCCTTATAGTGGACGGATTCCTAGTGAGTTTGTTCTTCCTCCTAGTCAATCTTATTATGCTCTTTTGAGTTCATTGGGTGTGAACCAAAAGATGAACTCTGATTTGGATCCTTTCATCTAAACAAGGTGGCACACACAAGATTACAAGCTTGAAGGTCGCTATCTGCAAGAGATGTATATGGTTCTTCCTTATTTATGATTTCATAGGGTAGCAGTAATAACATGAAACTTAGATTCTTACGTTGCATGAACATATATGATGTTGTTATATTTTCATTGCCATGATAATGTGTTTAGATGCATAGAAAATCTAACCGTGGTATCAGAGCCTTATTTCATGATTACTTGCACTCTATAATCCTTTTGATTTGTTAAAACATGTTTGTAATTGGAATAAGAAGCTGGAAATTGAAACTGATAAAACATGCTAATGGTAGGCATGACACCCTCTTATGGCCGTGGCGCGCCCTGCTGGATTAGGGTTTTATGTTTCCTTTCAAATTTCAAACTTGAAGGTTTTTCAAATATGGATAATTACCTTATTTAAAATGTTTTAAATATGCATATTATTTGGATGGATATTCTTGAAATAAGTTTTTTTTAATAAATTTGAATACTTATTCTTACATTAATTTAATATGATTTAAATAGTGATTTAAATTAGAATATTTGATATTAATTTAATATTGCTTATAATTGAAATTTATGAACTTGAATATTAAGCTCCACTGTTAATAATATTACGTCCTTGCAATTTAATTGAAATTAATAATAGACAATCAAATTTAAAGAGCTTTAAATTTACCCTTATATATATATATATATATATATATATATATATATATATATATATATATATATTATATATATATATATGTTAGAACAATATCTATTATATGTATACGAAATTTACAGCATGTGCCCTCGCATGTTTAAATATTGACATTGTCGGTCTTACCACGACTAGGCTCACCGACTCTAATACTGGTTTAAGGAGGTTTCTTTGATTTCTAATGATGTCGGTTTTTAATATGCTTTACGCTTAACTACCTCACCACCTTTTGTATTTTGAGAGTGGAGTTACCAAAAGGGTTTGATAAAATAATGACCAAGTTAAAAGTATAAATATTAAAAGTATAAAACAAAATCATGTTTTATTAATAACATGTGAATATTATATTATCCATGCAAATTGCAAATTCTCTTTATATTATGTAACGAAGCTTGTGTGGTTAATCGACATATCAATTTGAGAGTATAGTTGAGAGTGATATGGAGCTCGTGAATCTTAAGCGTAACTTGAGTCGGGGACCATGAAATTTTGCATGGTTGATTCACCATCTTTTCTATGATACGATGAGACTCCACTATAGAATTTGAGATGAACATAATCCAAGATAAATATGTCATTGATAGTCAATGAATCTCACAAACCTAGGAATTTTGTATTGATCGAAATTGGCAAAGGGCTTTGCCTACCTAAATAACTTTGTGGTGTGTTTACGACGACCCTTTACACATCATAGAGCCGAATATGGATCTCAGCCTTAATTAAATAATTTTATTTAGGGTAATTATTTTTAAGGATTATTGTATCAAACTAATTGAAATATCTCTTTTTGTAAATGTCAATCCCAACAACAACAACAACCTTCCTCCTCCTCTACCAACTCAAAACTCAAACTTTTCGCTCATGTCAGTTCTGAACAGAGAAAGGTTCAATGCAAATGGTTCGAATTATGTGGATTGGATCCGCACCTTGAAGTTCACCTTTAGTTATGAGAATAAGGTGTATGTTCTCGACGATGATCTTGTCGAACCGGCAGGGAGTACTCCTGAAGAAGATATTGTAGCCTACAACAAACACTATGATGAATCGACCAAAGTGGCTTGCCTCATATTGGCTACCATGTCCTCTGATCTCCAAAAGAACTTTGAGAACTAGTGTGCCTATGACATGAACCAACAGTTCAAGGAAATGTTCCAAGAGCAAGCAAGGCAAGAACGATTCGTGATCGTTAAATCCCTCATGGCATGAAAACAACAAGAGGGAGCTTCTATGTGTGTGCACGTCTAAAAGATGAAGTCTTACATAAACAGACTAGGGAATCTTGGTGTTGGGCTATGAAAGGATATGACAATTGATATGGTTTTGAACTCGTTTTCTAGTTCATATTCACAGTTCATCATGAACAACAATATGAATAATCTTGACAAGACCTTGTTGAAACTGCATGACATGCTTAAGACAGCTGAAGCAAGCGTGAAGAAACCTGCTAGCTCCAACCCTACTGGTCCAGTGTTGGCCATTGATCGTGGTGCTCCTAAAAGGAAAAGGGTTTCTCATCCCAAAGGAAAGGGAAAGGGAAAGGTTGGACAGTCTGAGCAAAGCTCTAAGGGAAAGGTCCAAGCTGAAATAGTTCTTACCACTAATCCAAATGAGGTTGTGTGTTTCTACTGCCAGAATAAGGGACATTGGAAACGCAGTTTCCCCAAATATATAGAGGATCTTAAGAATGACAAAGTCAAAGTGGATGGCACCTCAGGCATGTTTATGATTGAACTCCAAAACACATCCACTTCTAATTCTTGGGTTCTTGATACAGGATATGGTACTCATATTTGCTATGATATGCAGGAA